GCTGTGGTGGGGGGGAATGAAAAATGGCAGCTGGAGGGGGAGGCGGGTGGGAGTGTTCTCAGCCACTCAGATGCCAGTGGCAGGAGTCCCCTAACCACGGTGAGAGGCAGTGGGTGCAGGCCACCCAAAATTTTGCAGAGAAGGGTGAGAGGGCAGGTTTGGCAGATTATGAGCTCTGGCACAAAATTTGTTTTTCATGTAAGCCAGCAGATAAGGTAGCAAGTGTATTATTTAGCAAATAGGTAGAGTCTTAGCACACGGTATTAGTGAGCACAAACAAACCCTCCTCTGAACCTGTCATTATTAAACTTACCCAGAGTCCACCCAAAATTTTGCAGAGAAGGGTGAGAGGGCAGGTTTGGCAGATTATGAGCTCTGGCACAAAATTTGTTTTTCATGTAAGCCAGCAGATAAGGTAGCAAGTGTATTATTTAGCAAATAGGTAGAGTCTTAGCACACGGTATTAGTGAGCACAAACAAACCCTCCTCTGAACCTGTCATTATTAAACTTACCCAGAGTCCAGGACCACTGCTAACAAATGAAGGGCAGTAACACAGCAACCAGTACAATTTCACTCTTTGTAGGTATTCGTCCAGCTACTGCTAATCAGCTGTGTCATCCATGTGAAGCAAAATTTACCCCATAATGTTAAAAATAGTCCTTTCAGTTAAAAGCCTGTCTTGTTCAATGGAGCAATACTTATATTTTATTTTACACAGCTAAAGTAACATTTATACAACAATTAAAGCTTACCATTGCTGTAAGACCGAAAATTTCCTACAAATTTTATGTATTCATATGTTGGAAATTCCTTTGGGTTCAAACTTCCTCTCAGAAGATGACAATAAAACTCTAGTTCATTGTCAGCTGGATTGTTAAAAGAAGAAGAAGAAGACATAAATATACTATTTAAGCTAAACACAACCAATGGTGTCTTCCAACCCCAATCTTGCAACTGGCAGCACGAGAGCAGCCTAGAGTTCTATACACTGATGTGTTATATATTGCAGGATCAGAGCCTCTGCAAGGAACCACCTTGCAGGGATGCAGGTTGCCCAGCACTGTCTGCCTGCAGCCCAGGGACAGCCTTCTAGAGTAACTCGCCTTTCTCTTACACCACCCTCCTCACAGGAGTTACACTGCCATAGCATCAGTGTAGCAAGGGAGAGAATCAGATCCTCCATTTATAGGTTTTTCTCTACTTAGGCTTTTCACAACTCACAACTGTCGTACATCTACTGTTAGAAAACCATGCCTAATTACCTCAAAATATCGATTAAATTAACTTTGGCATATTAGTTATCAGCTGCAGGTTTTGTATCTACAGTGGATTAAGCAGCTGTATGTCTTCAGTTATTGTGTGTTTTCTGGTTCCCTACGTTTCATGTCCTCGAATGAATAAGGATGAGGTAAGTAGAAGCACTTCTAACAAAAACAAAATTCAATTTGAAAAAGAATTACAATTATTGTTACAGATACTTTTCAACTGTAATGCAAATGAAAGGTATGTGACAATAGCGTATCTCTGAACAGCATCTTGCTTGAACAGGCTGAGAGGTATCAATTAAGATGTGGTTTGTCTCAGGAACTCTGGGTTTCCACTGGCTAACCTATTTTCCTTAGCTGTCTCAAAAGATACGATATTTAATAATTAACATAACTGCAAGTAGTCTTAGCCTAGTAAAATAAAGGCAATGAGTTTCATTTAAAAATAGAACCAAAGGGTCATTCCAGGTGGCAAGATCTTTTTAAAAGGCTATGAACCTAAGTTTTATATTGCACATCACATAAAAAAAACTCTTTCAGAGACAAAAAATTTATCCTGCCCATGATTTTTAATTTACTGGGAAAGATAAAATAAAACTTACTTTTTAGGTAATCCGATGAGGCAGAATCTGTCATAAGCATACAAGAAGATAAGATCTTATAAATTTCTGAATGTTCTTGTTCTGGGAGGAAATTTAACAAATTCTGATCCAAGACATCACACTGCAAAGAAAAAGAACCTGTGAGAAAAACAGAAGTATCATGACGAGCAACACTTGCAGAGAAGCCCAGCAATGTGGATAAAAGTCTGTGGTAGTTGACAGGAGTCAACTAAAACAGGGGGGAAACTGCTGGGCAAACCAAGTGATCAGTTCTCCGTGGGCCAGTTCTCATCCTAATTCTCAGCACTCAGTGATTCTCCTCTAACCTTTCTCAGAGACCATCAGATGCATCAGTTATGTCCTTACAACAGAATGACGAGACCTGGGAGCGAGTTGAAAGATGGGTGTCTGGCTCCCCACACCGCTCACCCGCTCCTTGCACAGGCCTGTTGTGGATCACTGGAACTGCTGCTCTCCCTGGCAAGCCCTGACTAGTGGGACTGAGAGTCACCCTGGGCCACTGGCCCTGAGAGCTGGGTCAGTCTCAGCCCCGGCCCCTCCCTGGGGGCACCCACTCAGCTCCTGGGAAGTAACATCAGAGTGGCAGCCACTGGTACCCCTGTATCCTGGCAGGTGGGAGCAGGGACAAGGGAAGAAGGGCATCTCTTTGCAGCAGTAATAGTCAGCCCCAGGGAGGGGAACTTCATGGTGCCACTGACATAAGCCCTCTGGCCAGCCATGGGCTGCATGTACAGGTGTATGCCATGGTTAACTGGCATGAACCTGAAATCCATCCAAAATTTAGGTACTGAGATTTGGGAATGGAAAGAGAAGACACATTTGTGCAAAAGGCCATGGCTGGGCCAGGTTCTAAAAAAGTGTATCTGAAAGGAAGTCCTGAGATAAACTGACCCTCTAATGGCATTGACTTACATCCATCCCACTTGAGACTACCTTGGGCTGAGCTGGCACACTGACACAGCTTCATGTGTCATCAGAGCAGCTGCTATCAGACTGTATAGTCATGCTGAAAATGTGTTAGCCCTGTATGAGATTGGCACGTTATTAATCATCATAATTTATTTATGTATTTATGTAAGACTGCACTTCAGTTTCCCTCTGCTTTCAACCCATGCCTGCTGTTCTGTGTGGAATTCTGTTCATAGGAGCAAAATGTATCCAGTACAGGTTGAAAATCAGAGTGCTACACCTTATACATTTATCTTGATGCAATAATATATCACTTTAGATTATTCAGTTATAAGTATTTATTACATGTGCTCATAATTTGAATAATCCTTTTGTGCAGAATATTTGAAAATTATTTTTGTGACTTTCATGTATACCTTATTAATATGCATTCTATTGATATAGTATATGATTAAGTTTTTATATATATAAAGGCATAAATATATATACATTATATAAACATAATTATGTTTATATAATGTATATATATATTTTAATACACATGCATACATATCTATAAACATGCACTGCGTTTATATTGATACAAACTATAGTACATTGCTCATGTAATTTTGGATATATGAAGAAAGAGCGACTGACAAGGGGCAATGGGTGCAAACTGGAACACAGGAGGTTCTGTGTAAACATGAGAAAAAACTTCTTTACTGTGAGAGTGACAGAGCACTGGAACAGGCTGCCCAGAGAGGATGTGGAGTCTCCTTGGCTGGAGACATTCAAAACCTGCCTGGACATGTTTCTGTTTGATGTGCTCTGGGTGATCCTGCTCTGGTAGGGGGGGTTGGACTAGATGATCTTTCGAGGTCCCTTCCAACCCCTAAGATTATGTGTGATTCTGTGATTGTGTGATGGGAAACTGTCCTGTTCAAGGCTTATGGTACAATTTCAGAAAAGTAATTTTTCCTTCTTGTTCCATTTCTACCTGTAAATGGTAGATAATGATACTTATCTACCAGTCTCACAGAAGTCTCATGGAGGTTAATTAATCTCACATACACTCAGCAGTAACTGTAGCAGGACTAGATGTGAGCTGTCACCACTCTTCAAACTCCACTATTGCTGCTTCACTGACCTGAGGATGTACCTACCATCTTTTGTCTCCATACTGTGACCAAGCTCTCATTCAAAACCTATTATCAGTTCTGCAATGCTGTTTCTGTTGAAGGTGATAGCTGCAGAGGCCTGCGACTACACCTATGGTTGGAGCTGCCAGATACTTTTTTTCCACACACCCCTCAGAGCAATCTCCTGCCCTGAGCACCAGCTGTTCATTAATTTATATTTTTTGCCTACATCAGGTACCATACGTATCCAGAATTGAATATTTGGTTTTCATCTTTGCTGTTAGGAAATATCTACTTTTTTTATTTTTAATGTGCTTGAAAAAAATAATGAGATTTCCCAACTCCTGCATCCTGCAGAACTCAGGCACCCCAGTAAAGCAGTGGAGGAACAGAACAGGCGGACCTCGCATGTTCTCCAACAATGTTCTTGAATCAGTATGTCAATCAAGAATGCATCAAAAGGTCAAACAGAGAGAAGGAAGCAAATACTTCGTAGTCTTGCTGGAGCTGTAGGAAATGTTAGGCCAGGCAAGCTATTGAGAGCTAATTCTGCACCAGACCCAAAGAGCAGACATCTGGTGCCACGGCAAGAAGGTGACCAAACATACAGACAAACTCTGGTCACCACATACAAAAGTGTATCGGTTGGAGGGGAACAGTTTGCAGCTTTGGCTAATTATTCTGCAGTGGGCAGTTTTGCCCCACTGGCAGACACAGCCACAAAACACTGCTGAGTGAGACAGACAAAGCTGATAAAAGATACATTACAGTGACTGCGGATAGAGTGGTTAGATTAACTATGTTAATGAGTATTTATGCTGCTAAGCTGGGAACCTACTCTGTGCCTTTGAATCTATGAATCCCATAAACAGAAATTTAGGAGTATTGATCCCGGATAGCTATGACAGGCAAAGAAACAGCACCTTTGCATATGCTAATGCTGGTCCATTCTAAACAAGTTCTGCAATCATTTGATGCATAGCTAAAACATCTGTGCACCTCCAACAGAACAGCTGTACTCCAAAATGGAGCTCCTTTCTCACCATTTCATAGTTTTGGGTTTTGTGGTTATTCTTGCTGCAGAGGAAAAAAATGCAGGGCAAATGAGCAAACATGGTCATTAGAGGAATGGGGAGATGGAAGGCTGCAAATGAGACGGGCTTCTTTCCCATCGACTGAAAAAATAACAGATAGCTCTCCTCTTCTGTGCTGGAATTTGGCACCTGTATCAACCTGTATATCCTGCACTGGTATCCATTGCCACCCTGTAGCAGCAACACAGGATACATAGCTTTTGTGCTCTCTAAGATGCTATGATATCCTGGACTTTTACACCTTGACATTTAACTTAAGTGCCCAACACAGCAGAGGAGCTGCCTGAGCTTCGCTGGGGCGCCCCTGGGCAGAAAGAGCCAGCCCAGGAGGTCAGCCCTGCCAGGGACCTCCTGCCTTTGCAGAGCCACCTCCCCAACAATCCTTGTGGACCATCATGTGGGCAGGTGCCAAGCATGGATCACTTGGCTGCAGAACTAAAGCTGGGTGAGATGGACACCACCCTTTTGGTCTGTGAGCAGGTGCAGCACCTTCTGCCTGAGACAGTGGACAGGCAACGTCCCTGAGAAAGCTGCATCTCCTCCTGTAGGTTGGAAGTAATCACTCTGCTTCCTGTGTTTAGCTGTTTCACTAGGCAAAGCAGGCATGATGGGACAGGACACTCCCCCAGAGACTGGATAGCCTTGGGGTCATAGAGTGCCATCTGACTGGCAAATGCTATGAGTTATGTCGAGATTTCCAGGAGTTCACTTCACTTCAACTATAGTCAGTCTTACCATGTGAGATAAACCTCACTTTACACCAACGAACCTCTGGATCTTGTAATAACATACTATTTAGAAATACAACAGAGGAAGTTTGAGTTTGAAAATGCTTCATGGAACTTAGGGAAGCTGTATTAAAGAGAATTGAATATATCTGTTCTCAGCACCAGAGTCTTTCATGATTTTAATGAAAGAAAATACATCAGATTTCTTGATAGGGGCCCTCAGAGACCCCTGCTCAGCCTTCTGCCCAGTTTTGCTTCCCTTTCAGTGCTCAAAGCAGATTTGCAGATTATTTTTTTCTCCACAGTCACAGAGGAGAAAGAATTGGTATTTTGTCCCTCAAACAATGACTGAATTTAGCTTACAAATAGATCTTGGAGGTAAACAAAATAAGCCATATAGACTTTCCAGATAGTACTCTGATCAGTTTTAAAATTTAAAAAGACATGTGGAAAGGGCAGCATGGGACTCAAATTCCTAGTGTGCACCTAACTGCACACTCAGCTGGGCCCCTGCCCGTGGCTATAGTGATTTGCCAACCTTGGGCAGTCAGTGCTTGTTCAGTTGTGGTCTCTGGGATGCATCCAGTCCCTCCACATGCATGGACTAGTGGGGTAAATGTTAACTGTTATCCCTCCATCAGTTCCAGGAAGGTATGTGGCAACTTCTGCTCCACCTCCAGCCTCAGCAGGTTGGTCCCGTGGGCTACTGTGTGCAGCTTCTGTGTGAATAAAAATGGTAGTCATCCTTGTTCTTGTTTTGGGCAAAGATTATCACCCAAGGCATGACTTTGGGAGGCAAAACCAACTGAGTCACTGATGGTCCAACTCAGGAATTATGAACCTGAATCCACCCATGTTCAGATAAGGTTTAAGGTTTTAGGCACAGGGTCTGAAATGGGTCTTCCTGAAGAGCAATACTTCCCCACAGCCAATCTCCCATTTCCATTAAGAATCAGTATTTGGAAGGGATAGCATTAAAAACTCCAGATCATGAAAAAGAAAAAACACCATAGGAATCAGTAAGTGCATGAAGAACCAACAGCCTATGCAGGACAGCCCCTGTATCTGCCTCTGAAGTAAAGGCAAATGTCAGAAAATAGTCAACTACTGCTTTTCTCAACTGTTGAGGATTAAAGAAAACTGAAATAGCTAGATTCAGTCCAATCTGTTGTTGCATAGCAATATCCTTGCATTTACCACGAGCTGCCGCCTTTCATCAAGTCCCTTTCGTCTCAGAAGAAAATAAATTTTGTTCATATTACAGCAAGGTAGGGTGTGTGAAATACATTTGTCTGGGTGGAAAACATAACATGTATTTTGTGAAAAAGTAAACAAGAGGAAAAGAATTGTAATTTTCCTAAGAAGATGGTGTGTGTGTGGGGTATGTGGTACAATAATGATTTGGCAGCTATTTTTTTTTTTCTCCTGGGCATGTATTTATTTGAGACCAAGCTTCTAAAAATGAGCGCGAGGATTAATCCTTAATTATTGTGCCATTTCTCCTAGAGCAGCCTTAGCAACAGGAGCAGGGTTTGGAGCAGTCTCTCTTCCAGCCCAAACCAGTGCACGCGGGAGCGTCTCCCACAACAAGATCCAGCAGCCCATAGATAAAACAAGCCCTACATGCAGGACCCCAGTGCTGAGTATTGGCTCCACCAGCACTTCCTGGGAGCCGGGTGCACTCCCCTTGGGAAAGCACAGTGGAGCTGCAGGGGCAACTGACTCCCACTCTTCTGAATTCAGTGGGGGTTTTGTCCTTTACCTCCCTGGGAGCAGAATGAGGCCCTCAGCAAGCTCCTTGCCAGGCTGCCAGTGGTGCTACTCTCTGCTAGCTGAGAAATCAGAGATGGAAAAGATCAGCCAGGTCACCCTGTCCCTCCTCTGGCCACAGGATTCCCACAGAGCTTTTTCCATTCAAGCCGAAATGCCTCATAGCAACAAAAACCTGATGGGTATGAATCAGATGAAGAGAGGCAAGAGCTGATCAACAGCAGCGACCAACACAATACAAGGACAAACCCCCTCAGTGTATTTTTAGGAAAACAACACCCCACCGCCACCTTTTTACATCTGTTTCTAAAATAACAACAAAACACCCAGGGCCTGATCCTACGATGTGTAGTAGAAAAGCCAATGCCAGAATTACTCACCGGTAAATGCCCTAGAAGAGGTGTGATGCTGTCAGACACGTAGATGATGCTTCCACCTGTGGTTACTGCTATAATGAAGCCATCTAATGCCTAAGGGAAACAGACAAGTGCTTTAATAGGAATGAGGGGTGGAAACAGGGTGTGTCATTGCATGTTGATCAAAACAGTTTGACTTCAGCACCATATTGCTATCAAGTTGTAGGAATGCTATCTTGAGTTGCAGAACAGTAACTCTCTGATTTCACAGTCTGATTTAACATTTATAACACTCTTTGTAGTCTAGTAAAACCTACTATTGAAGCAACAAAGGGTTCACAGGAACATTTCATGTCTCGGTTTTTAAATTAATCACACATTTTAATAATGCAAAATGACTAAGACCGGATTCCTTGGAAGTTACTAAAATGAACATTTGAGCTCTGAGTAAATATCAAAGGACGATGAAAGGATGCTGCCCTATCTCAAAATGGTACTTCTCTGCAAATCCCATAAATCTCAGTTTGTATTAATGTAACTTTGTATTTTACTGGGCTTTCATGTAAGTAAGAGCAATGCAAACGATCAAATAATCCTTAGCCTGAGTTTTAATTGAGTGATTTATTTGAAAGGTCATGATATTAGATTACTCATTCGAAGAGAAATTCACCCTTCTTCAGGGCTTTTCCTCACTTTAGTCCCACCTTGCGGTAACTACCTTCACTCCAAGGACTGAAGGAAAATGTCAGCCTTATCTCCATTCTCTGCACAGGAGCAATTTCACCTTCAGAATTACTTTCTTTAGTCTGAGCTGCAAAGTTTTGTGCTAAATCTTGCTCAAAGTTAAATACAAGTAGACATCCAGATCTAAAGCAACCTACTATGAGCAGAACCCTCCCAAAAATGAAGAGTCAAAAGCAGGTGCTCAGAGGCTATATTAAAACCTTTCCATTGTAATTAGGGAGTCACTAGTGAAGCTTTCAATGCCTTCAAGTGGAGCAGGTTTGGGCCCTCCCTGTCAGCTCGCTGGTGATCTGGAGTTGGTGTTGCCTGCAGTCTTTGTGCCAAACAGCCCCTGCAAGCATGACTGCATCAAAGCAGAGTTTGACTATACTCTGGAGGCAATACCTGGTCAGGAGACAGGTGTACTGCAAACAGCCTGGTCACAGTGGCACAGCATTACAAAACCTTACTGCAAAGCCAGGAATACCCCCAAGCCAGACTAGCAGTTGATCCTGTGAGCTGCAACACATCCTTCCCCCCTGCTGACTTCAATAAGGGAAAGAATTCTGAGAACACTGGAAAATGCTAATTGTTTTTAAAAAATTAAAATAGAAATTAAAAAAAAAAAAAAAGAAAAAAAAAGAAAACACAAACCCTTGAATAAAGGCACAAACATATGTTCCTTTTCCCAGAGAATGCTGTGCGCCCACAACTATTTAAGTCAATGGGAATCTTCTGGTGCTACAATCCTTTGAAAAGCAGGTCAATAACTCATATCCCAGTAGAAGAGCGTGTGTTTAGCATCTCTGAAAACCCTCCAGCTGCTATAGTTAGTTTGATTTTGTTAATCTAAGCACAGAGAATATGTTTTTCTTTAGTATAGTACATTCAAGCTGTTTTCTAAAAAAGCATGGTAGCTATTAACCCGCAGAAGAGAGCAGTGGTTTTACTAGGGAACCGGATTGTGCATGTTACTATGGTGAAGGTTGTTGGGTTTTTAAAAACAAAGTCTTTATTTCATATACAATGCAGATTATACAAAGTGACTCATCAGAATTTTGTGGTAAACTGAAGCTAATGTATGCATACATAATTCTGATTTTATTTACTCACAACTGGTTCTTTCAACATTAAGAGGGCATATCTACAAAGATTTCAGTACTGCAGCAGTCCTAATGGACAAACAGAGCCTAATACCCACTCCTATGTAATTTGATGACAGCCTTTTCAATGGGGTAAGAAAAGGCCATTTTCAGTAAAGCTGATGTATTACCACAGTCAATTATGCTCTGATTATTTTGAATCACTGCTTGGAAAAACCCTTCCCATCTTTTAATAACAGGACGGGAAAAACTTCAAGCAATCTTGTCCAAATGTTAATAAGATTAGTAGGAAGGCAAAAAAGAAGAAAATGATGAACAGCTGGCTCAACAGGACATCCCAATACCCAGTGTTATCTTGAAGGGCATGGAAAATCACAGTAGCAAGAAAGTGATTTATAAGCTGGGAAACTAAAAGCAATTGTTTTAATCTAAAATTGTGTGGCATACAAATAGAATCAACAAAGGCCCAGGCAGTCAAGACAACTACCAATTTATTGCTGTCCCAAGGAAATATTTCAGTGCAGACTGAAGGAGTTATGTACATTAAGTTCCTGCGCACTGAGGTGGGAATGGGCGGTTGTCAGTGCAATGGGAGCAAAGCATCTCGTAACGCAGGACCAGGGGAGTCTCAACACGATGAACTGTGATGGCTGAAGGACCACCAACCCCTGGGGGCCAGTTAACATGCCCTGGGTGGCTTCGTGCCACCCCTTGGCATGTCAAGCTACTCCTTAGCACCCTCCCTGCCTGCCACATGCCTGGATCATACCCCACATTCGTATCATTTGTGGGAGAAGCTTGTCCTCAAAGGACACTGTGAGGCAGGAAACCTCCATGTATTTGGTATGGGATAAGATCCTTGAGAGAGAAGGTTCTAGCTGTTCCTGAGAGAGAAAAATACATTTTAACAGCTCATTTGCATTTCATCTTGAACCTACATAAATGCCATTGAGTCACCTCTCTTCAAATCCCATCTAGCGTTAAAAGCACCTATGGTATAATTTAAAGGTAATTTTAAAACTATCATCGCAAAATAACCCTACTCCCTGATAGAATAAAAAGTGTTTGATAAGGGCCTTGATAATCATTAGAGTGGAAGTATTAACTGTATCAAACCAAGAGGAGCTGTCAGGTTTTATCTGCTTGTACAGCACCTAGCACTAGAAGGACATGACACTGTTTGTTGCTTCTTAGGTGCTAGTCATGCATAAATACTAGATAATAATAATAATGCCTTCCAAGAACAGGAGAAAAACTGCCACATGCCCTTTTCCTCCCCTTTGCTTGTAAAAATAGAATACAACCTGTGATTTGCATCTCTACCCTGGATTGCATTTCTTGGGAGCCCCTGGGCAGCTTTGCAGGCTGCGGAGCAACAGCACAATTGAGAGAGAAAAGCAACATGTAGGGACTCTTAACCCCTTGTCCCAGTGACAGCTCTGCTTGATGGTCAGATACAGCAGTACCTGAAACCTCCTCTTCTGGATCTGCAGATGATGCTTTATTCTAGGCACATGGGCATTTCCGTGACTGCTAGACAGAATTAGGAAAGGTATGCAAGCATGTTCACCTCCAACATCAGCTGGGTGAATTCTTCGTTGCTGAGAAACGAAGGCTTCCAGTCCT